GGAGAGGGATACGGTGGGCTGGGCAGAGAGTCCCTCTGGGACAGGTGGATCGTGTCTGGCTGCTGCCAAGGACTCTCCCAACGAGGGCCCTGAGCCGTTCGTCCTCCAGAGCTTTCAGCCTATCCCCATGCTTGTTCCGGCTGCAGGTACGAGGGTGACTATCTCATCACACATGATCTGGGCAACTCCTTCATCCGGATGCCAATGAGGTTCTCCTGGCGGCAGGTGAGCCTGAGCACCCGTGCCACTAGGCTGCAAGCATCCTCTGCCCAGCCAGTGGTGCTGCCTGTGGGCAGGAGGGAGCAAAGAAGAGTGGCTGCTCTTGTGGGGCAGCGCCAGGTGCTGCTGTGGCAGGGACTCTCCCAACTCTCTCCCAGAACCTGTTCCGGATGCCGGTAGCCCGAAAGGTCCGGATGGACCCACCTTGCACCAACTCCACAGCCCTCAGTGTGTATCTGAACTCCCCAGAGGTGAGGAAGGCTCTTCACATCTGCCCTGACGCCCCGGAGTGGCAGGTGTGCAGGTGAGCAAGCTCCAGGCAGGGAGTGACCGCTGTGAGCATGAACAGCCACATGATGCTGATGCTTCCTCCGCAGCTTCGAGGTGAACCGCAGCTACAAGCGCCTGTACATGCAGATGAATGACCAGTACCTGAAGCTGCTTGGAGCCACGGTGTGTGCAGGGGTAGCCCACCGGGCCCTGGGACCGGCTCTGCCAAACCCTCCTCCTGCCTGGCCGCGGCTGCTGCCCTGCAAAATGCTCACCCTCCTTCTGCTCTGCAGAAATACCGGATCCTAGTGTACAACGGGGACGTTGACATGGCCTGCAACTTCCTCGGGGATGAATGGTTTGTGGAGTCCCTGTGCCAGAAGGTAAACGGGCAGGGCCTGGGCCAGGCCGGTCACCAGCTCCAGGCTGTGCATTCAGCTGCGCACCAGGGCTGGCTGTGGCGAGAGCGTGGGCAGGTTTTTTTTCCTCGTGCAGCCAGGGCACTGAGGGCGCTGCTGCTGGTCCCAGGTGCAGGTGGCTCGCCGGCCCTGGCTCTACACTGAAGGAGGAGAGAACCAGATCGGAGGCTTCGTGAAGGAATTTACCAACATTGCCTTCCTCACCGTCAAGGTAGGGCTGAGGAGCTCTGGGGAGACAGGGACAGGGCTGTCGGCTGTGGCATGGGCAG